TTCAGTTCCTGTCCATATGTGAATGGAATGGCATTACCTGTTACCTGTCAATTTTGAGTGGTAATGAATACAGCATTTGATGTTGATTACAGGCTGTAGCTTCAGTAGTGTGTAATCAGAATTTCCTCTACAGTCATTCAGTCACACTTGATTTCACACTAGCACCTGTGCAGAACCAAAGCATGGGAGTTTATGTCCAGATTATCTGCCTGCTATTGGTAAGATTTAAGGGAGCCTGTAAGTTGCTTTCTTCTAAAACAAACTGCAGTGTTATGAACCATGTGTGGTAGTGTTTAAAAATGAGTCTAATGTTCAAAAGAAACAACATAAAAAGTGTTTCATATATTTAATGCTCAGACTGGAGCCTGGTGGTAGCCTTTTATTCTTTGGTGTGCAGCAGAAAAGAAAAAACAGAACAGTCATACGTCAGGAAGGGCTTATAGGTGTAGCAGGTAATTATCTTCTGAAACTGAAGCATCTGTAACTACTTTCTTCTCACTGTTCTCCTTTATAATCATGTAAGAGTAGACAGAAGTACAAGGGCTGCTCTGAAAGTAATGTCTCCTATTTTATTATGTTGGCCCACAAAGTCAGAAGCGGATGTTGGTGATATGGCAGTAGAGGTTGAACCTTCCTGCCAATTTTCCATTCCATGTGGTTGCTGTGTGACAAATGGCAGCAGAGGGGTGATCTGACACAATTGTGTCTGACATGAAAGTGTGGGTGAAGCAAAGGTGTGGCATTGAATTCCTCCATGCAGAAAAAAATTGCACCCATTGACATTCACTGACACTTGCATAATGTTTGTGGAGATGAGTGAATGTGAGTGTAGTGAGGTGGTGGGTGCTGTGTTTCAGTAGTAGCAATGCCGGGTCAACTCCACTGGTTACGAGTTAAGAGTGTGGCATGCAGACGCTTGTTCATCAGCAGTGAAAATGCATGGTTGAAGATGGTAACTACATTGAAAAGCAGTGTTTTATAGCTGAGAGTTTGTTCTATCCAATAGTGTTATTGTGCTCTTTGTATCCGTTGTAGTTTCCATGGCAGTAAAAGAGGCATTTCTTTTGGAGCAACATACGAACAGTTTTCTCTTTATACTGAAGAGAAATTCTGTTGTATGTTACACCTACTTCTGTTTAATTGTTAGAAGAGACATAGGTGTTAGAAATTGCGTCCTCAACTTTTAGAGGCATACAAAGGGATCTTTTGCACAGTTCACTTGCTTTCTTTCCTCTAAAGGGAATAAAAACAAGAACAGTTTTAAACTTGGATGAGATTGAACTACTTTTTCTTTCCTTAGCCGAGAAAATAACTTTCTTCTGTTGCTGCATATCGTCTGTCTATTGTCAGCTCCACAAAACAGATTGTATGCAGTGGATTTGCAGATTGCATTTCTTTAAAATTTATTGTTTCACTGCCTCTAGTCACACTTCTGCTTCTCTTACACCAGCCCATTTGCCCAGTGTTACCATTTTGGGGAGAGCAGATTTCTTTGCAGCAGCTTCTGCCATCTGGAACCATCCTCTTTTATCTCCCTAGTTTGTCAGGACTCCAGAGCTTTTCAAATATTTTCTGAAATTATAACCTTTTTCTTTTACCTGTTACTCATTGGGTATGATTCTGTGACTCAGTGTCCTATTCAGTACTGAATGTCTTCACCCCACTGTTGTTTTCTGTGAGGTTTTTATCATAAGAAGTCAGGAAAATGATTAAATGCTCCATGAAAGTAAATGTTCTGAGAGAGATTCAGAACAACTGAAACCTATAGCCCCATATCTACTTTCTCCCTACTGAGAAAAGAACATTGTCAGCCTCTGTTTTTGTAGCTTTCAGCCTGGTGTACTTGTTTGACCATGCTGTCAAGTTGCTTTTCCTAAATTCTCAGCATCATTTTCACATTATATGGAGAATGCTTAAGCTTGATATTTTGCATTTTCCTGGGAAAGCCGAGAGAGCACAGTTTCTAGAACTGAATATCTTAGTTTGAATTTCTTAACTTACCCTGGTTCTAAAAGCTTTTAACAAAGTTTTGTTGTTTATGAAAAACGTGACTTTGTGAGATACATCCTTTGTATGGCTGTGGTGCTCTATAGCTCCCGCTGTATAGGTATCTCTTTAAAATATTGAAAATGTGGAGTTTATGTTCATTCATTATGCAGCAATTTCTGGCACTACAGAAGATAACAAGGTGGAGTACTGCAATGCATTTGGTACTATGACAGAATAAGATGATCATCTTAAGATGTACTGGAGAGGAAACGAAAAGATAACGTTACCTGTCATATAAGTAAGGACGCTGCTGTACAGAAGTCAGGTCTTAGCAGAGGTTTGCAATTAGCTATCTTGAGCCGTTGAAAAAAGGAAGCAATATGCTTAGGTGTGGGCAATATCAAGAGCCTTGAATTAGGGAAGTGACTTTTTATTCTTAACTTAGTGATACACCTCAATTTGTAGATCGGGTAGCTGTTGGGTGCTTGATTTTTCTTCTAGAGTGCAGTGGCTGCAGTGAAATACTGCATTTGTGAGCTTTGCTAGAAGACCGTAGCAAATGGACTGGTATGGTCCATTTTGCAAAGAAAGTCTCCTGCTAAGTGAAGAGCTGGGGGAAAAGCACTCCCTCTCACTTGCCCAACTCATAGGTTCGTAATTTTGAAACCAGTGCGCAGTGCCAGTCTGTGTTATCTAGAACGTACAGCAAGCTCAGAACATCTGGATACAATAAAGGGAGTCATTTTACTTGTTTCATATTGAACTTTGGTTACTGAGGAATTTTGTAAGTTATTTACTTTGAATAGTTTTCGTCCTTGAACATCTTCATGTGTTGCAGGTGTTTTTTTTAAAGAGCTTATGATTTCCATGTGTTAGCCCATTTTTTGTCAGCTCTGTCAATTTTACGAATGAGCTGATGTGCATTTTCTCATTCACATTGATATTAAATGTAAATGCAGACACTGAAAAATGATTCCTTTAGACATTTTTCATTTTATTGGGCAGTAGGGGAGCCTAGAGGTTCAGGAAAACATTTTGTTGCAAATAATATTCTCAGAGAAGTGAATAAGTGCATTTCATACATTATAAAATATATGAAGTAGTCAAATAAATATATCCATTCTGATGATACCTCAGAAACAGGTACAAGAAGAGTCTGTAGTCTTGGCCTTGAAAAAAAAAAAGCTTAGAATCTTATGTTGTGTATTAAAATGTTTATTGTCTTCCTAGATTTTTAAAAAATTCCTTTAAAAAAAAAAAAAAAAAAAAAAAACCAACTTTCTTTCTTCTGTTGTAGTTTAACTCAGCACCTAAACACAGCACAGGCTTTTGCTCACTCACCCCAATGGTTTCACCATGCTATGAAGGTGGTGGCTCTTCCCTGCTGAATAGCTGGCCTGATCCCAGGCATGCTTCCATCACTCAGCAACAACCAAAACATCATTGTGCTATTGATGTTGTTGCAGTTGAAACGAGGACATCTTCCTTGCCGTGCAAGGGCAAATTTGTGCCTCTGTCAAACTCAGTGTGAGTTTTTGCCTATGACTTAATTTAGGCCAGGATTTCCTTCCTGGTCTGTGTTACTTATAACTTCTTTGCATAGGTAAGAATTTACATTGAATTGTATATCTGTCTCTGTTCATCTGAGTGACTAGATCATGAGAAAGGTGATAGGTGCATGGGTTCTTCTTACAATTTGTATCTTTGAGGTTGGGAATCTTTGCCTAGTAGATGACAAATTACCACACAGGATGAGCCGTTTCAAGCCTTTACAACAGCCCTTGGTTGAGCTGACAGGAATGTTTGTCTGGAGCAGCTTGCTGTTGGAAAGTGCTGATTAAACTGAATGAAAAAGCACAATGGGAAGGTGTCAATATGATGCTGAAAATGCCAGGAAAATCTCAGGCTTCTATCCTGACCAGCTGGCTGCATACTGGCCAGCTTTGTCTCCAGGCGTTTCTGGAAATTTATGTTGTACATGAAAATCCTTTTCTCTGATTTTTTTGTTCCACTTTGGAAGAACAGAATGATTCAGAAATATGGAAGCTTTTGTGGCTCTCTGTTGTCCTGTCTCTGTAAATAAACTTTTACATGTAGTAACACTGCAGCTTTCTCAAAGGGTACTGCTGATTGTTGGAGTGGAAAAAGTTATTTAGAAAGTGATGTGACTTGATTTTTACCATTCTAGCCAAGAATTTCTGTTGCCATATCCCATTAGCACCTCATAGTTGTGTTATTTTAAATGTGAATCTTTTGTATTAATGGTTTTCTGAGAAGCCTCTTAGATATGTTCAAACTTGCTTAATTTTTTACATCCTCTATGCAGACATACAACTCTCTATTAAACACTCCTTGGCCATAGGGTAGTTTTGTTTTTTCTTTGTTTACCCTCTGTTCCAAATGCTTGGTGATATTTTATGCTTTAATTCAGGTCCTTCTGGCTGATCATCCTTCCTGTATTGGTTGCTTACAGTATCAAGTAGATCAGTTATTGACTGTCAGTTCAGAAAATCGAAAGTGATAGTAATTTTGTCACTTGAGTACAGTTGAAAAGTTCTTTGAAGAAAAAAAGTGTCTCTATTCTTTTTCTCCTGTGCTTTTGTGTTTTTCAGGAGTCGGTTCTGTAACATGTAGTCTTTTTTATTTTGTCCTCACATGGCGGTATCTGTCCCATCTCTTTTTCAGTCCTTGTGATCTGCAAGATGTGGTGCTTGTTCCCAGTTCAATATCTGGAACAATTTCCTTGTCAGATAAGAATCCTGACGTATGATTGTGTCTGCAGTCAGCGAACTACTTTCTAAGTTAGAATCTTTGGAGAGATAAATGTTAGGCAAAAAAGTGGTGGAAAAGTAACTGATTTCTAATATAGTATCTTCTCTCATCGCACTAGTGGTTTTGGTTTTAAGTGAAAAGATTATTATAGTATGTAATTTCAATTAAACATCTTTTGTTGTTGTTGTTGTTGTCCTGCAGTATTGAGGCTAACCACAGTTCTGTTTTTTCTTTTACAGGTTGCCTTTCTGAAGCTGTGAAGATCTCAGTTACCTATGTAGAAAACTCTTCTCAAATTCCCTTCCATCAGACATATACAGAAACCTTCCAATGGTGTGACACCTGAAAAAAAATCTCCTGGCAGTACAAAGCAGGTTGAGCTATGGCACGCATTATTCTTTCTATCTGGAAGAGATTCAAAGCCAAAGACGGAGTTAGCTTTTACATCCAGTACATTCTTAGATGTTGTTGTAAGAGTGACTGCTCACATCAAGCTGGACTAAGTTATATGTAGTCAATACTACCTTTGTTAGACAGTATTGGGAGTCCTAAAAAGACAGGCAGCAAAGAAGGGATCTAAAATATTTAATGTTATGGATGCTGAAGTGTTCTGTTCTTTCTTTGCTCTAATAAACTTAGAAGGCTGACTTTAAAATACATGTTTAACAAAAACTAGATTTTGTATGTTTATCATGTTTATTATTTCTGCATTAATGTTTACCTTCCTTCTTGTGAGTGAAGAAAGACCGTGTTCATGTTAGTATACCATATGTAATATTTTGGGAAACTGATAATGTTTTGAAGAATCAAGGCTTGATGGTTGTTTGAACTAATTATTCCTTCAGCTTCAAAAAAGGGTATCCCCATGAGGGCTGCCTTTTCAGAAACTGCCAGAAATGAAAGATTATTGTCCATTTTTGCTCTGCGTGCTTACCTGCTTTTCACAGGAGTTTTTTCACTGGTCACAGAATCTGTTACCATTTTTGTTTTTGGAGTGAGTTGGATTTCTGTGACTACCCAGAATGTGACTGAGTAATTGCACAGAAAATCTTTCCCAATCTGTTGAAATGACCCCTATTATGGTTTTGCAAATACACAGCTATCTTAGGTCACAAAATACGTGCTTTTGGGGTTAAGTCTTTGTCACATCCTGCTTCATTTGCTACTGTGACCATACAGAGTAAATCTGACATTAATATTATATTTGGTTGCAGAGTGATGTGCGTAGACACTTCATCAGTTTTTGGGAACAAGGAAAAGCCTTCTGAAGATGAAGAAACATGCATCAGCCCCATCCTGCCGTGCTCCTGCTGTGGCAGTGCTACAGCTGAGCAAAATCCTGCAAATCCTAAGCAAATCTTGAGGGAGCACCAAGCCCAGCATGTACACTGATAACACTGAGCCTTTTAGGAGCTTGCCTCCTGCCCTCCTGCCTGCATGTACTTAAAGCTGCTGCTTTTTTTATTTTTTTATTTTTTATTTTACACCCTTGTGCATTGGTGTACAGGGTCTGACTGGGATGGAGTTAACAACTTTTGTAGCTACCATGCTGCAGGTTGGATTTGTGGCTCCAACAGTGCAGATAACGCACTGCTGTTCTGGCTGCTGCTGAGGAGTGCTTGCACAGCACCAAGTCTGGGCCTTTTTATTTCCCCCTCACATCTTTCCCTCAGTGAACAGATTGCTGTTGAGCAGGAAACTGGGAGAGACCACAGCAGAGACAGGTGGTCTCAGCTGGCCATAGGGTTTGGGTACATATGTAGCTTGCTTACCCTTAAAGCATGTAAACAAACACCATGGAGATAGGAATCTGCTCCAGACAGTAGCTGGCTGCCAGCTGTTTTTTTGTTTTTTGTTTTAAGAAAAATTTGATCCTACTTATTGCTTTCTCTGTTTTCCCCATTGTTTTGTATCTCTTACACTGCATTTTTTTTTTCAGGGCAGAAAGTATGCTTATTTTACTTTCCATAGTGTCAAGTACAGCCTCAGTGTTAAAGCCGTTAGAATAAATCAGCTGTGACGTTAGGAAGTACCCACTCACATTAACGGAGATAGATGTGCCTCCTCCACTAATGTGCAGTTTCCAGACAGTGTAAGACAACAAGAAGCTATTTAAAATGTCAGCTTTAATTTTTACATGCTGTCAAGTTGTAAAGATTGCTATTGCAAAACACCTCCTATGTGTCAGACAAGGGGTGTTCTCCATTAGCACCAATGGACAACAGTATTGTTCCTGTCATTAACAGGTCAAGTGTAGAGCTTGTTACCTTCTTTAAACAAGCTTGACCATTATAATGAACTGGGATAGCTAAGCTGTCATACCAAATTAAGTCTCAATTATTTGGTGGTTATTTTATCTCCAAAAGTAGGCTTTCTAGTTTAGTTTCTATCACCTCCAGTGTGGGCTAGGATATACTGAATAATATTGACAAAAGGATTGATGCTGGTCTTGCACTGTGAGCTGAAGGGCAAGTTCTGTCTTGCCTCTGCTTCACTTTTTTCTGTGGAAAACTTTGTAGATATAAGGAACAGCTTTAATTAAAATTTACAATATATGTTTTTGCACTTAATTTTGGATTTGAATGCAAGTGCGTTTCAGTAATTCTTTCTGTTTTGCTGCCTTCATTGTTGGTCCTCCAGAACATCACTATGGTGTCAATTTTAGACTTTGCGTTCTTTCGTTTCTCCCCTAGCCAACTCTGTTCCATTGTAAATGACAGATTTCTTGTTTGAGGTACTGCGTCAGCTTATTTGCATTGTTCCTTTCAGTTCCCCTCCAGCTTTTCTTTTTATCTTTTTTTCAAAGCACTGCAAAGTCCTCAGATGGACAAGTTACAGAAACATTGCACAACCCTGTCTTCACTAGACTTCTTCAGTTTCTTTCAAAATGGGCTGAATTCCCATATAGCAGATGCCAGGGAGCTTTTTGCAATTTTCACTGAATATCATGAATGTTGCTGGTCCACATACTATAACCACTCATTAGCAACGTTGTGTCTTCGAATATCTTACTGTGACAGGCAAGTGTGATATTTCTGTTATTGCAGACAGCAGATGCTGTGTTCAGATCTCATGGTGCTATAGTTCAGGAAAGTTAGATAGCATTCTTTTAGTGATAACCATGAATATTTGTCTAACTGCTAATTGTGTATAATGGCTCTTGCTTTGTCCCTGTCCAGTTGTCTTACACACTGGATTGCATTGGTCGTTATATTACATGCTCAGTAATAGATGCTCCTTCTATCTGCTTGTATTCCATGATGATATAAATGCCTATCAATTTCTCATTGTAAATATTAGAAAACAGTTTATTTTATAATATAAAATGTCACTTTAACTTGCATGTTTTTGATCACTTCTTCAAGGATGTGAAGAATTTTTGTCTTTTTCTGTGATAACAGAGGAGGCTGTGGCTGAGTTCTGTGTTTTGTTAATGACAGCTCCAACGGCTAGGGGGTTGGAACACCTTAATTATTTACATATGTTAATTACACCATAATTGGCTGGCTGTGTTTTGGCAGCATGCATTTTCTTACTGGTTTGCCTGTATCATTGGAGGGGGGGTGGTTGTGGTTCTCCTGCTAGTGACAAGGTTACTCAAGGTTACTTGCTCAACACTGCCAGTGTGACAAAGTCCCTATGGAGATAAGTTGAGTTATACCCATTGGAGACAGACTGGTGAATAAGATACCTCATGTTTCATCAGCCAGCAGTAATAAGCATCTGCAGGAGAGAAACGAAGGGTCTTTCCTTCAGTTGGGTTGGTGTGTATCTAAAAGTGGGGCCAGATATGTCTGAGAAAGCCCTGGGATATGTCTGGACAGACATAGAGTTAGTTGTTGTCACCATGGGAAGGCTCAATCCATGTGGAAATGGAGTGGAAGGACTAGCTGTGGAAGAACGGAGAAAGGACCTGATGGAGTGCTTACAGAAGAAGGCCACAAAAATGATACAAGGGATAAAAAACACCTAGAAGAACAGGCTGAATGAGCTGGGGCTGTTCAGCCTGAAGAAGAGAAGACATCAGCAAGACCTGAGATCAGCCTTTCAGAAGGCGGGGCGAGGGGGGGGGGGCTGCGAAAAGGAAGAGGACAGACACTAGCAGGGTCTGTTATGAGAGGACAAGGGGAAGAGGTTTCAAACTAAAATAGGGGAGATTTAGACTGGATGTAAGATAGGTATATTTTTACAATAAGGATAGTGAAGCACTGGTAGATTGCCCAGTGATGAGGTGAATGCTCTGTCCCTGCAGACACTCAAGGTCAGGCTGGATGGGACTCTAAGCAACCTAGCTTAGGACCTAAATGTAGGCATCCCTGTTCATTAATAGGGAGTTGGATAGATGACCTTTATGGGACTCTTACAACTCAAACAATTCTATGAATCAAGTGCTCTATGAGCTCTTCACAATACATTCTTAGATTTGTTGGACTATTGAGTGTATTCATGGTATAGTGGCTCTTCTCTCAGTTTCTTTGTAAATATTGTCAGAAGTTTCTGTCTGTGACCAATAAGAAGTTATGATTTGGAATCTGTAATGATCCAATTGTATAGTTAGTGTCATCTGTTTTCTCAGATTAGCAGACTTGCTCTTTTATAGGCTTTGATTTACATGGAGGGCAGGAGCAGTCTTTTCTTTGAGCTTTGAAAGAAAACGAAGATTGGGGACGATTTACAGCTTGTGCTTTGCTGCCAAAAAGGAAAAAAGGGTTTAGTAAAATTGCTGGAACAAATATTCTCAAACACATGACCAAAAATGAAAATATACTAAATCAAGAGCACTTTTTAAATTGATGGCCACTGAGAATAACAGGTGAGCTGCTGTTTTAATTGATTCAGAGTAATTATAAAAGTCATATTTTGCAGTTGAGATGAACAAACACAGCTCAACTGTTGCATATTGTCTTGAGTTTGTGAAGAGCACTGTGCTCCCATCCACATCTGGGGCAGGTCCAGTAGGTTGGTGCTAGGTAAGCAAACAAAGCATGAGAAAGCACAGCAGAAGACAGGGAGCATGGCATGACAGAGGGCTCTGAAAGATGGTTTGGGATAAGAGATTAACAACAGGCCTGAAGGAAATTATTTCCTGTCCTGAAAGATGCTTTTAAGTTGCTGCAAGCAGGTAAAGAAACATCTTGGTGGTTGGGGATTTTGGAATTGGCATTGTAGCTTATAAATTGAAACATTTATTTACCTATTGTTTGATTATTGTTTTTTTTTTGTTTTGTTTTGTTTTTTAATGATCACACAAACTAAATATTTTTTTCATAGAATAATGCTGATAAATTTTACATTTTCTCTATTTTTTTCTGGATTTGGTACAGTATGCATTCCAATCTGCGCCCTCATCATTGTCAAGATTTTGATGCTTGCTCCACAAAAATCACATTTGCACTAGAGTATATTAGCTTTCATTTAATATAGAAAATTTTTCTTTAAAGTAGAAACCAATGGAAATTTGTTGTTGTAGTTAACCAGGATACTACTAAATAAGAAAGATCTTACATGGGCTATTTACTTTGCAGATTTTTGTCTCCTGCTGTACCAGACATGTGTTCTTTAATTAGTATTAATCATTTTTTCTTGGGCCATAGAACATTTTTTTAAAGCGCCTTCTAAAGAGATGGAATTCAGAACCTGCAGGATTTCTATCCCTTGAAGCCAGTCTCCTATTA